ACCTATATACATACTTGTAGTTGTTGTTGTGGTATCCCCTATGGAATGATCCCGTTTACATGTATTTTATCTCTTGTATGGATTCACGGGGTCATTAAAAGATGTGTCTTAGACACCTCTTACTGAGCGACTGGCTCATCCCATCATATTATTATATTTTTCAGGTCACGAGAAGGAAGTGGCAGACGACGCACATCCACAAGTTTAAATGGGTTAGTGAACTGTTTTGATAACTTTTATACTTGTGATCTCTTTTTTTTTTGTATAAGCCTTGGGATGACACGTATATTATGTATCGACTTTAGAATTGACCCTAGTGCCCTTAGATGACCTCGGGTTCGGGTAAGAACCCGGTTAGCGATTCGGACCCTCGGGTTCGGGTCATTACAATAATATTATAATGAAAAGATTTAGATCTATACATATATATTTAGGAATGAGTTAGAAATAAAATAGAATAGAAAAAGTAAAGTTGTTTTGACTTTCAAAAATTCTGAGCATAATAGGATTTATTTTAATTGGTAACTTTAGGTTTAGGAAAGAGTTAGAAATATAATAAAATAGGATTTATACTCTGTGCACGCTGGCATCCCACTCAGTGCACGCTGGCTACTGCAAATTTGATTTCATAAATTGCAGCACAATATGGCCCACCACAAAAGTACAACGTTCAGAGCCCTTTAGTAGAGTGTCTTACATCTCCAACGAAGGAGGAGGAAATTGTAATCAATAAAAACCCTAATAGGCTTCTTGTAAGCGACACATAGAGAATCTCTTTTACAATTTCCTCCTCTTTCGCCGAAGAAGTAAAAGACTCTCTACTAGAGGGCTCTGAACGTTATAGGAGAGACTCTTTGTGCGTCGCTTATAAGAAGGCTATTAGGATTTTATTGCCCCCCCCCCCCCCCCCCCGGCTGTTAGGGTTTTTATTACAACCACCCAACGGTAAGGAATGCCCGAAGCCTATTAGGGTTTTTACTGCCACTGCCCCAACGGTAAGGAATGCGTGTGCGCTTTAGCTAGGTCTGAAAGGACATTAATATCTCCAGCAGCCCAACTGGATTGAAACTTGGGCTTTTAAATTTACAAATCGGGCTCAAATTAATTAGATTTTATTAAAACCTAATCTTATTCAGATTGGATTGGGTTTTAATAAAATCTAACTAATTTGAGCCCGATTTGTAAATTTAAAAGCCGATTGGATTGGGTTCAATCCAAACCCAACCCAATCTTACAAACACAATTAGGGATGGCAAATATCCCCAACCCGGTGGGGAAACAACCCGCCCCCGCCCTAGCCCCATTTACAACGGGTTTGGAGAACCGTTTAGTTAAATGGAGTGGGGATGGTGATTTAAAAATAAAAAAAAGGCCGGTTTTGGGGCGGGAACGGGGAAGTCCATTCCCCGCCCCGAGCCCGCCCCCGATTAGTATATAAAATTATTAATTTACCCCTACTATGCTATTATATTTACCAAATTAACCTACACTATATATTTGAATTTCGGAAACCCTGGACTACAGTTCACTTCCTATATTCCTAATGACAGTGAGGCAGGAGCAGGAGGCGGCACTAGTAGATTTGACGAAAGAAAAAAAAAAAAAAAAAATAGCAAGAGCCAAGGATGAAACAACTAGCAGGTACTCGAAACTCCTACCATCCTACACTCCCTCTGACCTCCTTCACCATCTTCATCCACCGCCTCAGCCGACGTCCACCTGTTTTTGCAAATGTTTTTCTTTTCTTGTTGGATGATCACTTACATTACGTTGTGTACTCAATCCTGGATACTTGGAAGTCCATTGATTTGTTCACACAATAAGATCCACCAATTGTTTTTTTTGTAATTTTCTGGTTCTGATTTGAAGTTATTAAAGGTGAGATTGCAATTTTGTTAATATTTGATTAAAGAATCAGAAGAGTCCACAAATCTCAACGAATTGCTTTGAGTTATATATATATATATATATATATATATTTGATTACTGAATGATGATACTGATTGATGATGTTATTTTGTTTTGTTTGGTTGATGTTTGCTTGAAAATTCAGATTTATATGGTTTTGTAGATTCAAAAAAATTAGAATTTTCAAATTTAATCGGTTATGGGACAGTTGTGGGGTGGGGGCGAGGCAAGCGGCGGCAGGGTGGGGCGGTTATCGGGGTTGGGGTTAAAGAAAAATCAATTTTTGGGCGGTTTTGGGGGTGCAAAATTTAAACGGGGACAGGGATGGTGATTGAGACCCCCGCCCCAAACCGCCCCATTGCCATCCCTAAACACAATACAACGTTGAACACAAACCCTTTCTTTTCTCTTTCCTCATCTTTTTTCTCTCTCTAGATCGTCTCCCAATTCTTTTCCCTCTTTCCACTCCAATCAGTACCGATCTCTAAGCTTTTCGTCCGCGTTTGGTTTGCATTTCGTTCTTTCCGCTGCTCTGTTGTATGTTGATCCACACTGCAGATTGTACTTATGTTTGTGATTGTATGTTTTCTTTGTTCTCAAAAATGCTGAAAACCAAGTTATTACACTTACATTTGGAGTTTAAGATGAGGTTTTAGTTTTCAAGGTTTTCTAATGAAGAATGTTTTTAATATTTGAAGTTTTGCTTTTCCTGAATTGTTGGATGCTCTGTTCTAAACTTATTTCTCAACCAATCAATTTTTTGTGCTTGTGGGTTAATTTTATCCTGCTAATTTGTCCATCCCTTTTCATGTATTCTTGTTTCATGGTAGCTTCAGCTTGTAGGTATTAGTGGGTTTGGTATTTTATCTTTAAAAACTAATATTAAATTTATGCAAATTTAAGTCCTACCTATATATACACTAGTAAAACACACATGCAATGTACGTGATGAAAAGTTATTTTATAATCTTAATTAATATAAAAATTATTGATGCATAAATCTGTATGATCCGATCCAACGTCCTCTCTTGTAACAAAGAGAGATGGTAACCCTTGTCGACAACGGTGTGGTGCTTGCCAATGGTTATCCAACGATCAAGTCAGAATGGAACCTATAAAATTTAAGCAGAAAATATATTATTTAATTCTTGCGTACCTCTTCGGTTTGACAGAACTATGCCCTTAGAAGGTAGATGTCATCCGTTAAGAGTTATTTAAACCAAGTCATCCTTCTTTATCCGTATTGTTAAAATACCCTAATTCAAATTATCTTATCAATTGCCTCTCATTCTCGAGCTTGCTCATCAAGCGTGGGGAATGTCAGACACTATTTTTCTTCTTTTTGTCGGGTCGAGTTGTTTTTAATCAGAGCTAAGCATCTAATATTGCTTCAATCTTGTTCCTTTATCAATAGATGTTGTTGTACTCAGCTAATCCACTAGAAGGAGTTGTTATTCCGACTTTTACTTAACTCGTTTGTTTAATAAGTAAAACTTGTCGAACTTCACTCAGCACGCCTTTAATAAGGGAAGCATATTCTACGAGCTCCACCCAGCTCGCCTTTTAAAAAGCAAAGCATATTTTACAAGCATCACTCAGCTCACCCTTTAATAAGGGAAGTATATTTTATGAGCTTCACTCGGCTAGCCCTTTAATAAGGGAATAGGCTTTTTCTGAGCTTCATAGACTCACCCTTAAATAGGGAAGTAAGCTTTTACTAAACTTCATGAGCTTCTCCCTTTAATAGAGGAGGTTGATTTTATTAAGCTTCGTAAGCTTCTCCCTTTAATAAGGGAGGTTGATTTTACGAAGCTTCGTGAGGTTCTTCCTTTAATAAGGGAGATTGATTTTATTAAGTTTCGTGAGCTCTTCCTTATAAATGGAGTTCTGTCTGTGTCTATATCTATCTAGACATTATAGATAAGGTTGACGAACCCAACCTTCTAACCAACTAACCCAATCAAACTTGTCCAACACACCATAATAAGTTTCTCCCTCAACCACCTATCTGTGTCGAACATATAGATACATATATTCAGTTGGACATCTCCTAACTTACTGGAAACTAACCAATAATAGTATGCCACAGCAATAACTGAAATAAGCCATATAGCATATCTGTATATGCTATCACAATCAAATATAAGTCACAAGGTATCTCTGGAACAACTGATCATATCTCAACTGCTCCCACATGCCTCCTTCTGATTGGTTGGTTAAAGCGCACACACATTCCTTACCCTTTAGGGGGTGAGGGGTGGCAATAAAAACCAATACAAATATTTAATCAGACATACAAGATTTGTATTGGTTTACACCCAACCTCATTTTCTTGATACTGTAGAACCTTATAAGGAACACACACTCGTCGCTTTGTATGCTCCATGCGAACCTTATCTATCTAATTTGCCTTTCCCCATGGATTGATCAACTCTTGATTGATTTTCTAGTCAGTGTTAAACGTATAATCCTTGTGATGATATCCCAAATGATGGCAGAGAGCCACAAAGTATTGAAATCTCTCTTTCTCATTCAATAACAAAGGGTGTTTCAATAGACGGGATGCTCTGTAAAATTAACATAACCAATTGCTACGGACTTGAAGCAATAAATGAATCTAAGATTAAAAAAACTAGTATATACCAAGAGAAATAAATAAAAAAACTTGGAGCAATAAAAGAATATAAGGGCGATAATTGAATAGATTAAAAGAAATGTTGATATAAAATTCAAAGAATATACTTAGAGGTCTTTTAATTATAGAATGGATTCCGATCGTGGGGCCTAGACAGATGATTGTTTAGGCCAATGTGACAGAATATAAACTTTTTGAAATTTTCCATGTCTTCCGTTTTGTTATATGTGGTTGATTCTACCATCATTTTGTCCATAGAAGGAATGATGAGATGCATCTTTCCTCCCCGCATAACATATGAGCCATCATGTAGAACATTTCCATGGGCTCTACCCATTTTATATAGATACCCTATTGTATCTAGAATGTTTCTGGAATTGATAATACAAATTGAATTATTATAATATACTACTCAAATAAAGAAAGGAGTTTTTTTAAATTAAAAAAATATTCTTACCTCATCGATTCAATCTAGTACTCCTTGAATTCATAGTCATCGGATGTGTTTACAAAAAAAGGCTGACTCTCAGGATGTGTTTCTAGGCTTCAACCACTCAACAAAATAGGAATCAACATCTGTCCGTCTCAACAGATATGGAGTTTTGAATTCCTTCAGCATCATTATTGAATCAATGGCTACTCTCTGATATCTCCATTTTCTGCGCAAACACCAAAATCGAGCATCTTCTTTCTTTCGTCCACGTTTTACTATTACTCCCTTCCATAGTTTTTCCACCCAGGCTTCTTTGCATTCAAATTCAAAATAATAGCTCCTCACACCAGATCTGTAACCTTCTAGTATTGATTCTTTATCCTAAAAATTTCAACATTATAACAATTAGAACTAAATTTGAATTACAAATTGAAATAACATTAGGCTAGAACTTGAATTATACCTTAGCTTTACCGACCAAGTCTTAGCCTGTTCTCTCATCTTTATATATGAACAGTCTATTTGGTAATCTTCAAGATTAGGTTTTGGTTCTTTATCAAGATCCATAGTACTGACATCAAAGCAATCATACTATTAAAAAATAAAAATAAAATACGGTAATTGATCACAAATCGCAGAAGTCAGTAACAATAACACAAAATAACATAATTGCAACCCCATAAGTAACTAAATAATGTATGTATATCAGGGTGGAACCCAAAATCACCACTGATTTTGCATTGTTCCTTCATACAATATACATTCTCAGGTCAATCACTTTTGCATAATTAATCTCATCAAAATATAACATAAACAAAAATAAATTATACGTTGTAGGGGTTCTTTTCTACTAGATAAGAAAAGAGCAATAAAATAAAGATATCAGGAATACAAATACGAAGGAAAACAGAGGAGATGCTCAGTGCAGGAGGAGGAGAAGAAGACCAACTATCAAGATAAAGATGGTGGTTGGGCGAGTATACAATATTTCATGACAGCTTTTCTTCCTTTCGGGGGTTGGTTCTTTCTTCATAGGACAGTGCAATTTATAGATTTGGATTCCATTGGTTATTATCCAATGGTTCCTTCCATGCATAGTCCCTCACATGCATCACCCCTAATCCGGATTACGTGAGTAATCCTGAAGATTTAGGTGTTTGAAGGGTCTAATCCTTTCCTCGAGCCTTGTCCCACGTTGCCATGTCACTTCTCCCTTAATCAGGGGCATTAAATGTTGCTTGGTCGTTGGTTGGTCAAGCCTGACATAGGATTAATTATGATTTTAAGGTTTGCTGTCACGACATGTATAATCTCATCATTTTGTTAATTGGGCTTTGTCGAGAGTGAAGGCACCTCTTGACTTCTCATCCACCAATCCAAGATCCTCCTAAGTTTCCCAAATATGGATTCCTATAACACGAAGATCCTACCTTCATCTCATGCTACGGAGCTCCAATCTTTCAAAACAGTATTGTTTGGAGTAACACCATCGAGGTATTCGAGAATTGGTCTCTCGAGGCTTGATGGGCCTGGTGTGATGTCAAGGCTTGGGATGCTCGAGGATCAGCTTCTCGAGGCTTATTGGGCCTGGAGCAATCCCAGGGCTTTGTATGCTCGAAGTTTGATCTCTCGAGGCTTGGTGGGCCTGGAGCGATGCCAAGGCTTAGAGTGCTCGAGATTTGAGCTTTCGAGGCTTGAGGGGCTGGAGCGATGCCAGGGCTTAGAGTGCTCGAGATTTGATCTTTCGAGACTTGAGGGCCTGGAGCGATGCTAGGGCTTAAAGTGCTCGAGATTTGATCTTTCGAGGCTTGAGGGCCTGGAGCTATACCAGGGCTTAGAGTGCTCGAGATTTGATCTTTTGAGGCTTAAGAGCCTGGATGCCTGGGCTTATAGTGTTCGAGATTTGACCTTTCGAGGCTTTTGACTTTTCAAATTGCCACGGAGGATTTGGCTAGGGTTGTATTGACTTATCAACATGCCACATCAGCTTCTAATAAGTGACACCCACATACGTTAACAGTAATCACTAAGGTTACAGAAGTGAAACAATAACAAAATAATTAACATTAGATAAAACCCCCAATCTACAACCAATTTAATGAAACAAGAACAATTTAAAGAAAACCCACCCAATTGTGAACCAAAAATATCTACCATACAAATCACGACACAAACCAGCCAAATGATAAACCCTAAACCCCAAATAAGAAATGTAAACCTACCAAGATATAATATGGTCAAGATTACTTACAAATTGATGACGATCAGCAAACAAACACAACACAAACCCTAGTTTCTGCACAAGAAATTGCTGTGATTCAGACTCTCTTACGATTTAGACCGGTCGTGGAGCCTAATTTAGAGTTATTATCATCATCTCTTTTCAGGTTGAAAGAATTCTTCTCCGGTGACCGAAAATGGTTTAGTTCTGAGTTTCTAATCACACATTTTCACGAACAAATGGATACAGGGAGAGATAAAGTTGGAATAAATCAAATGATGAGATGAACGAAAGAAAGAAACATGTACAAAAGATCTATTCATGCAAAAGGAGAGAGAAGAGAGAGGGGATGGACATACCTTGTTACGATGTCACCTGAGCCTGAAGCGATACGGAGGCCCTGCGGAGTCTCGAAGTAGATTGTGTCGTCCGAAAAACTTGCCCTAACTTATATTTTTTATTTTATTTTTCCCATCCCCTATGGGCCTTAAATTATTTATTTATTTTTTCCATCCCCTATGAGGCCCAAGCCAACCAAGACTTGCCGTAACTTAAATTTTTTATTTTTTTTCATATATAATAAATGTAACTATGTATCTCATCATACCATTGTAATACAATATAATAATAATTTTATTATAAAATTATAATTATAATGATCTTGATTTTTTTCATTTTTTATTTTCTAGTATTTTTTCAATTTTTTGTGGTTATTTTCGTTTAGTCTCATTTTGCGTGCCGGATACCGTGGAGTACGCCGGGTGTGTTTGAGAGTTAGTTGGACACTTACTTGAGTTCAGGACTTTTGGAAATGAATTGGTTGTCATTTTGTCAATTTTTCGTTTTTTTTTTTGACCGGCAGGTCCGAGGTGGGACTCGCTTGGAATTTTATTTAGAGTTCATTGCATTTCATGCATTATTGCTTAATGCTTATACATGGTTATGTGTTTAATTGTGTGATGGTATTATGCTGAGAGTATATATATAAGTTATTAAATTAAAGAAAATATATTTTTTATGCCATGGGACCCACCATGGTAATGAACTATTAAAAATGGGCCTTAGGATCAATTACAGACCATTACTTTCTTTCTCTTTGCCACGATTTTTTCTCTCCCTCTTGGTTCTATGTTTCTTTCTCTTTTTGTTACAATTTCAATCTTTCATTTCTCCGTAACCATAAAGACTTTGACTTTGCCACTTAAGGCAAAGTTGACGAGCGCGTCGAGATCTGCATTTTGATTGGAGCAGAGTTCCTTTTGGCCACCTTTTGAATTTCGGGAATGGGCTAAGTTTTGGGGCTTTTTTTTCTTTATTGAGGTAGGGGTATTCTTATCCACATCATCGTTGATTTTAGTGAATTTTCTTCCTTTAAATTATTTCTAAGCGTGCTTAAATTAATTATTTTGCTTATGGTATTGAGGGCTTTGTGTATCAATGTGTTTTATGTGATTAGTTGGTTGAAAATATATGTTAATTGGATTAATAAGATGAAGCATGTTAAGTTGAAATTTGTGTTTGCCTTGTATGTCCATAAATGTTGAGATTCTATTTTGTCAATACATGAGATGATTTTTTGTGAACTTTCTTGAAAGCATGCTATATATATTATTGTGGTTGATTGCAATTTATGAAAAAATTGAATTTATTTTCATGGTTGAGGATGGCATGAAACATTTATGCATTTCATTGGGAATGAAAAGGAAATGTTGTTTTAAAAGCAAATGAAATAAATTTTGGAAATATTATTTTAAGAAGTGTTTACGAAAACCCGGATGCCTAAGAGGTGCCTAGTAGTCCGTGGTGTTAATGTGATCTAGATGGAAGAAGGGAGAGACCCTAGCGTGGTTGATCTACCTAGGCCTAGAACGACGCCATGGAGGTGCCATTTGGTCGGGGATAGCTAGCCAATCCTTCCCTCGTGGTGCCATAGAGGTGTTATGGTCGGATTGCATTAACGGTTTGGAACGGTGAAACGGAATTGTTTTGAAAAATAGTGAATGACATTGGCATGATATTGCACTTCATTGGCATATATTGTGTAATTTGTGGTTGGATGACTTATATACATACTTGTTGTAGTTGTTGTTACTGTGATATCCCTTATGGCATGATTCCATTTACTTGTATTCTATCCCTTGTATGGATTCACGGGGTTATTAAGAAGTGTGTCTTAGACACCTCCTACTGAGTGGCTGGCTTACCTAATCATATTATTATATTTTTCGGGTCACGTGAAGAAAGTGGCTGACGACGCTCCTCCACAAGTTTGAATGGGTTAGTGAACTATTTTGACATCTTTTGTATTTGTGATCTCATTTTTTTGTATAAGCCTTGGGATGGCATGTATATTATGTATCGACTTTATAATTGACCATAGTGCCCTTAGACGACCTCGGGTTCGGGTAAGAACCTGATTAGCGATTCGGATCCTCAAGTTCAGATCATTACAATAATATTATAATGAAAAAATTTAGATCTATATATATATATATTTAGGAATGAGTTAGAAGTAGAATAAAATAGAAAAAGTAAAGTTTTTTTACCTTCAAAAATCCTGAACATAATAGGATTTATTTTAATTGGTAACTTTAGGTTTAGGAAAGAGTTAGAAATATAATAAAATAGAAAAAGTAAAGTTGTTTTAACATTAAAAAAATTTGAGCATAAAATGATTTATTTTAATTGGTAAATTAGAGGATTTATTTTAATTGGTGCCTTATTTTATTATTTGGTAAATTATTTTTTATTTTATTTATAAATAATTTGAAACATAACTTGTTGTAGTTGTTCTAATCTAAGTCACATAAAGCGGAAGAGAATGAATTCGAGAGCGAGATCGTGAGCGCGTCAAAATTATGTCATAAATAGTGAGAATTTGAGCGAGAGCGAGAGCGCGCTCGAAACGTGAGAGCGTCACCTATTGCAAATGATTGTGTGACTTAAGTTTTAATAGTTTTATAGAAAATCTTTTATTTTAATGGTTCTAATAGTTTTATAGAAAATCTTTAATTTTAATTCATTTTATTTATAGAAACTCTTTTATTTTAATTCATTTTATATGAGATATATAATAAAATAGAAAAAGTAAATTTGTTTTAACCTTAAAGAATTCAGAGCATAATAGTATTTATTTTAATTGGTAACTTAGGGGATTTATTTTAATTGTTAACTTATTTTATTATTTGATAAATTATTTTATTATTTTATCTATAAATGATTTGAAACATTTTGATTGAAATTCAATAAAACAATTACACATTTAATTTTAATTGGTAATTTATTTTATTATTTGGTAAGTTATTCTATTAAATAATTTACCTATTTTATTTTTATAGGTAACTTGTTTTAGTTGTTCTAATAGTTTTATAGAAACTCTTTTATTTTAATTCATTTTATTTATAGAAACTCTTTTATTTTAATTCATTTTATATCAATTAATAAATATTGAAATATGAAACACTTTAGTTGTTCAAATAATTTTTAGAAACTCATTTATTTTAATTCATTTTATAGCAATTAATAAATATTTTTGTGACGACCCTGGATTTTACAAACTCAGTGTGTCCTGTGATGACCCGAAACGGATCCAAAATACAGAGCTAAACATTAACAAATCTATAGAGAAGTACGTCATCCCTAAGACACAAGAATGACCTTTCGAGGAGTCCCGTGACTCAGCAGAAGCAAGACCGAATTTAGGGTTTCTAAACCCTTCAAGGAATGGACCAAGGACAAAATGGTCATTCCAAACTGAAACGAATACCACCATGCACACCATTGGAAAGACAACGAAAAATTAACAAAGATGGAGTCAAGAATCACTTGATTCGGAGTCTAGATGGCAAAGATATCAAGTCTTGAAGTCAAAGGAAGAGAAACCCCATCCCGGTTCGAACCAAATCCTGATACTACTTCACTAAAACTTGAATATCTTGAGGTACAAATGGATTCTAAAGATGTAATTAGTACCATTGGAAAGCATATTTCGACGTGGTCAATTTAGACTTAAGAATGGACCAATTCGGAATTAAAACGAATGAGATACGACAATTTGAAGTTAGAGGTGCAATGCTGAAGCAAGACACACACACACACACACAACAGGGACGGACGAGCGCTCATCCAAGGTCGACGAGCGCTCGACCAACAGACAAGCATAGCAGATTTTTGGACTTTAAACGCAATTTTGAGGACTGTCGCGCCCAGATTTTTCCCGTCCTCTCTAAGGGTTATATTAAACACTTATGGGTCAGAAAATAGATTTAATGCGACGGAATGACTATGGTCAAATTATTATTTATTTGGAGTCGCCACCTAACATAAGATTTATTGGTGTGTTAGATCACCTTAAAATGTCTAAGGACTTTAGAAAATATTTTATTATTTGACCTCCATTTTTTAGTCTACGAAAACCAGATTAATGGGTCCGGGGGGTTTGATAGTGCATGGGGAAGGTGTTAGGCATCCCATGACACCCGTAGAAACACGGTTACCTTGCTTTCTATGTTGCATTCCAAAAATAAACAAATATATATATATATAAGTATAAATGTAGCATCTAAAGATGCCTAAATATGACTTTGGAAGCTTAACCTTATCTACGAGAGAAAAGATCAATGTTTTCGTAAGCCGTAATATAAACAAATGACTTCGGTATATGTATACATATGTTTAAATGTATGGGTTTTAGAAAATTTGAACTTAAGAGTTCTTAAAGAGATTTGAAAGCATATAAAAATTTGTCTTTAAAAGAGTAAGCTTTGAAGAGAAATATTTTTTTTAATTGTTTAAACACAAATTATTTAAATACAAAATTATTTAAAGTCTAGAGTGAATTTCATTATGACCCAGTTTCAATAATATGAAATTGTGTTTTAAAATAGCATGGAAAGAGCTCTACATTCAGGTCTTTAGGAAGAACTGATCCTAGAATTTAGGAAGAACTGATCATAGAATTCAGGTCTTGCATAGAAGTAACACTTGTCATTATTTTAAATTCCTGCCTTAATTATTTACTCGCCAATCATGCTATCCACTAAATGGTACCGCAACTCATGCAATAGGAGTTATAAAACTGATGACTGGCTTTCCTTTTTTAATGTGCATGTGTGTGTTTGTGTGTGTGTGTGTGTATATATATATATATTTAATTATACTTTCCTTTCTTTTTTATTTTATTTTGTTAACAAAAATTTGTTAACTTATTTTTGTTAACATTCTTGCCATAGAGAGATCATGGCCTTGGGTCGTGGCTTAATGCCTGGACCGAATTTAAATTATTATATATATCTATATATATATATCATATCTTTTCTTTACTTAATGCAAATCATGTTTTGACCAGACAATAATATTCTGGGCAAGCATTATATGCTTATCAATATGTTTATTTACTTACTTTATTTATATATTTTTTATATTTTATTCATTATACGTATATAGCACACAATTGCATGGTCTATTAAGTTGGTTTATCCCCTAGCTTAGCGAGTAGGGCTACTTGGTGATTAAATAAAATAAAGAAAAGCAATAAAGTTATGAGCTTGGATATTAACACCAATTTTGTAGTATAGAAAATATAAGTACATAAAATATAAGTTCAAACTATAAAGAATATAATATCAGTGGATATGCCCCTTCTATAAAAAAAAATATAACCTTTTAGAAAAATATTATTCTATACAACGTGATTTAAAAATATATATTTATATTTAATGTTACCGATTTTCCCTATTTTCTAATTTCGGGAATTTACTTGATTTTTCTGGATTATTTTAATCTTTGCCTCGTTTTGCGTGCCACGCTGGCCCCTAGGGGCGTTTTGGTTATTTTCTTGAGCCGAGGGTTTTAGAAGTGTATTTTTAATCATTTTAAGTCAATTAGAAGTGACGATATTATTTTTGGAATTTTTCAGAAGTCGGGACGATTTTCGAACTTGGGAACTTCTTCCGATTTTCTCATTTTAAGTGAGGGGCGTTATTGACATTTCACATGTGTGTGTGTGTATTTATATACATGTATGTATGTAGTATT